AATTGGCGATTCGCGCCTCAACTTAACCGATATAATTTAAACCGACGACCGGCACACTTAATAACAAAAAATGCGTCTTGATGACGACGGAGTGCGAACTGACTGGATTGCCACGGCAGTGTCTTATAATAATTACGCAGCTGGATGCGATAACGCGCTTCGTAATCTAAATAATTATATAACTTGCGGCTTGCAATCATATACCAGAGTAAAAATAATAATAATATACCTTACTGGTAAAAACAAATATATATTGTGTGCGTGTGAATGTGAGTCGGTGGTGGTAAGCGGCCTTACATATCAACAATAATGTTGTTGCATTTCGGGCGGCAACATCTGTGATGACGTTTTTTTTCATATTTTCATATACGAGCAAATATGGTAAGTGCCCCTCTGTGCAATATTCAATCTCTGAGATGTAACACAGTGATCCCATTGAGTCATGAGAGGTTGTGTTTTTGTTCTCAATGACCACCCAGAGATGTCACTGGCACGCTGAATGCCAAGTCTCGAGAAGTTACTGCATGCGATGTCACAATACAATGTTCTATGTTACGTCACATTGTAACATTCATAGGTAATCAGGTTGATTTACTCGGGACTAACTATTTTCGTCTCACTTACTTCTCATAGAGTGCACGTACAGGCAATCCATGACAAGAGCCCCCTTTTTTTCTCAGTTTCCTTTTAGTCATTGTCAAAAAAAATGTTAAGTCTCCTCTAAACAGACAATTTACTTTTTCTCTCCGTTAAAAGTAATAACCCAAAATGTATAATATTTTCCCCTTCTTGCATTTATATTTCCACAAATCCACTAATCACTAATTTTTAATATTAGGTTTGATTCAACTGAGTTGAAATACAAAACTTTTACTATTTTAGAGCATATTTCAATGTTTTAAAGCGTATAAATACATGAATATAATGATATAATGAATGATAATCGGAATAGGCAATAATAGGCATTTCGATGATGTATTGTTGGAAATACATTATTATTTGAGTTAAGAATTCGTAACATTTTTTCTTTTTATAAATCTAAATTTTTAAAATGACATACAATATTCCTTATACGATTATCTACCTTTATCTAAAACTAGTGAATGACAGAAATCAATAATATAGGAAGACGATAAAATATAAAATACCTATGATTAAATATTTAAATTAATTTGAATAATTTATTGTGACATATTACTAAATGTATGAAAACATAATATTCTTAATATAACTGTTCAATGTTCAGGTAATAAGTATTATTGACGATCATCGTTATCGTGATAATGTTGATAATACTTATTATGTCACCTGGGTCGGGAAATAAAAGGCACGGGTCGCCAGTTCGATCTCAACGATCTCGCTGACAATGCCGGTCGAAATACGCGACGTATAATGTAATAAATAATAATTATTAATCACATATCTTTAGAACAATTAAAATAGTGTTTATTATACAAATTATTATCAAAAAATTATTACACGCACATTGTAGCTAATTCAATTATACAGTCCACTACCTAGTTTATTTTTTTATAAATTTATTCAAATTCAAACTGAGCCGAAACAATTACCATTTAATTGAGTTGAAATAAAAATTTTAATAATAAAAGGTTTTTTTACTTACATAATGACGTTGTTTAATATGATTATGAATGAACAAGACTTTTACTATTTTAGAGCACATTTCAATGTTTCAAAGCGTATAAATGCATGAATATAATAATATAATGAATGATAATCGGAATAGGCAATAATAGGCATTTCGATGATGTATTGTTGGAAATACAATCCCGTGTAGGTTTTAATTATTTCAAAAATATCAATGTAATATTTTAAAACAACTAAAATAAATTAAATAATTAGCTTAGGCAAATCCCTTGTAAATATTATGGATAATTCTTATTTATTTTTTTACTTATTACTAATGTAGTAACAAATTCGATTCGCCTAACGTTGGAATTAGAACCAAAAAAATGAAACGAATATCATTTTTCTCGCTCATAAAATAATATAATATTGTGCTAAAACAACAAAGTAGGCATTGAAATAACAATGTTTTCAAGTATAAACGATTTAAATTAAAATTAGGTGAGTTTACCATAAGTGTTTAGAATAGGAATTAATATACAGAATTTTAATTTATAGATACCCAAAAACATAAACATATTTACTTTTTTTCAATGTTTTATATACTTAATTGGACTTTTGATTTCCGTATTAACATTTAAATAATCATAAATTGCACAAAATAAATATTGTCTTCTTTTTATTGTTAATTTAAACGACACCTATAAAATATCAAAATATGGGCTAAAAAATTTCAAAACATTCACCCAAATAATAAACAAATATGGTATGAAATAAAAATTGTTCAAACTATGGAAATAATATTTATTACAATATGCATCAAAACCATTATTTTACGTTCGTATTCTAATGATTACCAAACAAATTTCTACTTACCTGATCTGCAACTATTAGGTACCTACCTATTTAAATTTTGACATTTCAAAATATTAGTATTACAATAATAATATCAAATTAATAATTAATATTATAAAATATAAAAATGATTATGAAATGTTATGATGCCACATGTCTACCAGACTCTAAGGCACGATATATAGGCCACTTCATATGCATGTAAAATATGTCGATAAAGTCGTAAATAATTAATATTATTGTGAATACTCTCCATACGCATACGGACGTACCAAAATTCACGTAAATTTATTTTACTAACAATTCAAACTTACATAATTTTGTGGCCACGGAATTATAAATACTATAGAATAGTATATTTTACAAGCGGGTCACTGTATTGGACGGTGTTATAATATATAACATCATTGTATAAGAAAAACAGTTCTGAGTGTTCTGACTATTTCTAAGTGAAGACAATAAGTCAGCCTACGATATTACCAAGTATATTTTATGATATTATTATGAATAAAATAACTTATATATAAGCTGCAGTTTACATGGAACCTTGTTTAAATTTTCAATTCTTAGCTATAGGTGCTAGACATTTTATACATTTTTAAATTTTAAATTTGTTAAGTTTTGTCAAAATTCGAACTTTATATGTGTATAAAAAAAAAATTTGTCGTTTGTGATTTTTAATATTTTTCAACTGCTATTGTAACAATATATCAGGAGCTTTGTATTAAGTTTTCACGCTTTTTGAAGTAAAATATAATCCACATCCGTCCACATTAAAACTTATACGCACCCGACCACAGCCAAGAACTTATAATGGTAATGTTATTTCTGTAGTATAAGTTATAAATTAACACTTTTAAATTTTAGAAACTGATCAAAGCTCCTGCAGAGATACCCACAGAAAAAACAGAGGAAGTAAGTTTTTAGTACCTACTTCAATATTTTGTCTATATGTATTATTTGAATAACAATTTCACACACCTAGGGTAAAATAAAAAGTTGGTTGCAACAAGTTCTGATAATACTTGACCCCTCCTTAATGTTAAATTACCATTATTTTATTATTTTAAGCATATCAATTTTGGAATTAATTTATGTGGTCACTTATCACGAAAAAGTAAATATGGTATTAATAATATTTTTAATTTTAACAGGTGAAGGTAGAACCTAGTTAATGTTGACGCACTTGTAATCAATTTTAATAAACTATTTTTATTGGGAAATAAATCAATGGTTATTAATATAATTATTTGTTTGAAGTGTGTTAACACTATATAATACTATCATCATCATATTAACTAATTAAATACAATTTATTAAGCCTCTATCATAAATAATCTACCTATACATACAAAACTACTAAATATGTATATATTTATTATTTAATATAACTATAGAATTAATAATATTAAATTATGTTATAGGAAAGAACACAACAGACGGAGGTAGTTGACGTGGAAATCCCTCCAATGAGAGTAGGTAACCTTATAGGTAGAGTTTTCAAAAAAAAAAAAAAATTAAAAACCTATTTAAATAATAAGACTTATTCATTTCAGTTTTAATATCCTAGCTACAACATTTTTTTTTCAGATACTTCGTTATGTAAAAAAAAGTAACATGGTACTGGATTATCATAGATGTTTTTATATTGATAATTTGTGCTTATATGGTAGGTACCTAATGAAAGTAGGTTAGTCAGAAAAAACCGTAGTTCTTACCTATTATAATATGTAGCTGGTCTTGTGGTATAGACTTGTTCCTTTTACAGTTACATTGAAATATCTAGACACAGCAGATTTCCAAACAACATATGTTTGCATTTTCAATTCACAGGTATCCAAATTTGTTTTGTTCGACAATACCTTTAAGAAACGAGAACAATCTCGATTCAATGCTGTTTTTAATGATAGAATGCTGTTGATAAATGAAACAAATAGCTTATTGGTTATTAGAGCGAACCATTTTAATAAAATAAAATTCAAAACCTGCCACGACTTGTAATTATTGGTTAAAAACAATATATAATATTGTTGGGGCCGAGAACATACAATAATAGTACGAGTGAGCCCTGTACCGAAATACCTACTTCGTACGCTCTCAACACACCATCACCGACCAACCTGTTTAATGTATAATGAATCATTATCACCAGATTCTCCTTGGACTTCACTAAGTGTATTTGCTGCATTTTCCACTATTTCTAGGCTTTCAACTAATGTCAGATTCGATATTTCTAATTTTTTTATGACTTCAATCAAAAAACAAAAGTTTGCTAAAATATATTTGATGATTGCACTTAGTTAGTTCACCACAGCTTAAAACAATTGGTTTGGAAGGTTCGGAATTTAATTTTCCTACTATAAAATTGGCGATATAGCGACCATCTACATCTGTAGTTTCGTCAACTGAGACCCAGATAGGACCATTGCCAATGATATCTCGAATTTTAGAAAGCGTTTCATTATAAATAACTTCAACGTAATTTTTTCGAAGAGTGCTTTCTTCGGGGACAGCTTGCCCAGTGTACTTTTCCAAGAACATTTTAAAAGTTGGATTTTTTAATTTAGTAAGTGCGGGATGTCAGCCTTGATTAATGTTCTACATAAATCGGTATCAAAAGTTGACTTACTATTCGAAGATGAAGAGGTGATGAAATTCTGATTGAATTTAATTTTCCTCACTATATTTTCTTTATGCTTTGATGTGTTTATATGCTGAGTTATTAAAAGACGTTGCAAACTAGATACAGATTGTCCACAAGCTACACAAAGTAACACGTGCAGTATCACTCTTAAAAGTTTCATTAGGGAATTCTAAAAGGTATTGAGCTACTTTTGCTTTTTTTGTTGAAGGAATTTTGGGCATTTTTTTTATCAGTGTTATACACGCACAGGCACAATTAAACAAATATAAACTCACTTATAACGTAAAAAAACACGTACGAACGCGAAACGAATAAATATATACCTACACGCACAACAGCACAACAGCAGACTGAATAATACCATTGATTTTATAATATATACAGATAGGCCATGCTATAGGACGAAATGGAAGCAAACACTTTAGTGTTATCGGCGCTCGATAGGTGTCGTTGATGTATTTGTAAATAACTATTAAGAGGACGTTATACCGCTCATTTTCGACGGTAAAAACATGTTCACGCAAAACAGTCAAAACGACACTAAAAAGTGGTTTTAGAGTTAAAATACCTATTATGAAATTTATAGAGAACAATATTTTGGAGATAATGTCATATCCATTTTACAAAAAAGTATTTAGTAAAATAATTACAGCTAATTAAAAAACGTAAAATTTGTCTATTTTGTATTTTAATTTGTTAGTTATATAATAGCAATATTAAAAAAGGTGGGTAAGTGGATGTCGCTCTGCTGTACAGTAGGTTACAAGTGGGTCACTGTATAATGGATGCTTTTAAATTTGAATTCAATGATATAATATCATTGTATAAGAAAAACGATTCTGAGCGGTGACGGTATGTCAGTCTATGTATCAGACATATTATATACATATTTATGGTATTAAACAAAAAATTGACCTATAATAGGTACCTATAATAAATTCCAAATTAATCATATCACAATATCCATTAGATACTTATAACGCGTTATACATCAACAAAAACCGTGATACTATTATAGATATATAATAGTACACTTTAGAAGTTTCAAGTACCCACGAATAATATTATTCAATCACAACAAAATAACTAAAATAGTTATTCTAGGTTTTTTAATATGTAATTTCGTCCAAATTTGAATTTAAAATGTCTGTAAAAAATAAGTGTGTTCATATATTTTTTAGATTTTTTGGTTATAGTATGAACTGTTTATGAGAACCTTTGTGTTGAATTTGTAATCCTTAGCTATAAAAACTGAACATTTTATAATTTTTTAATTCCAACGATTGATAATTTTCGAGATTTTGATAAATTTTGTCAAAATTCCAACTTTAAATGCTTATAAAAAAAAATCGTGCCTATGTATTTTTAAAATTTTTCAACTGATATTGTAACAATATATAAGAAAGCTTGTATTAAATTTTCAGACTTTTTGGCCCACCAAATAAAATTTTATTGACAATTATAAAAAAAAAAACTAAAAAAATTGAAAACTGAAAATGTCCGTAAACAGCTCAAAAAGAGTCAAAATATTTTCAAAATTGTATGGTGTATAGGAAATGCTAATATAAACATTCAGTGAAATTTTCATGTATCTACAGTTATTCGTTTTTGAATTACAACAAAATAAGGAAATCGCTACATGAGAAATCGAGTGAAAATCCAATGTTGTAAAAATTTGAATTTCAAACGCTCATAAAAATTTAATTTGACTGTCCGGTAGAGATTTTTGTATTGATAAAGGTAGATAATCTTATAAGGAATCTTGTGTTTCATTTTCAAATCTTAGATTTAAAAAGAAAAATTTTTACGAATTCTTAACTCAAAATAATTTGCTAATTTTCGTGATTTTTCCATATTTTGTCAATTTTTGAACTTTAAATGCTTATAAAAAAAAATTGTGACTAAGGATTTTTAATATTTTTCATCTGCCTTTGAAACAACATATTAGGAGCCTTCTATTAAATTTTCAAGCTTTCGCAACCAACAAATAAAATTTTATTGATATTTCTAGAAAAAAAACTAAAAAAAAATGAAAAATGAAAATGTCCCTAAACAGTTCCAAATAAATCAAAATATTTTGAAAATGTTATCGTGTATAGAAAATGCAAATATAAACAACCAGTGAAAATTTCATGTATCTACGGTCATTTGTTTTAAAGTTACACCAAAAACCAAATTCGATTTTTGGAAAATCGATTTTGCGTAAAAATTCCCGTTTTTCCTTAATTTTTATGTTGTTTTTCCCGGCGCTTGTGAAAACTACTGGAAAATGTTTACTTTTGACCCCCCAAAGTACCAACTAGATTCACTTTCCTATCAGAAAAGGTACTATTGAAGAAAATCGAAGCACTTTTACTGTCCCAAAACGTGATGACAGACACAAAAATATAAATAAAAATATAAAAATATAAAAAAAAACATACATCATTGTAAAACCAATACATTCATCGCTCCGCTCAGAATCTAAAACGCATAATATGATGTTTTATCCGAAATATTGTTTTCTTTCGATTTTATTTAAGGTATTTTTGCTCTAAAACCACTATAAAGAGAGCAATTACAGTTTTCCGTAGTTATGTTTTTAACGTTTTAGTCGTACTTTTCAATATTTATCATGCCATATTGTGCTGCTTCAAGTGGTGTATTTTATAAATATAATTTTCAATTAATTGGCATGATGGGAGGATGTAGCGGGTGCTCGCCGTCGACGGTGTTATCGATAATTCTAAGAATAGTAATAACTAATAAGTACTAATGACTTATTATTATTATTGTTGTTATTAATAATAGTATTATTATTCGTCCCGTATATTTTATTCATATTATGACTTTATTTTATGAATACGGATTTACGAAAATAAGAAATTAAGTTTATTATAATTATTATTAGTCATTCTGACTTGAGTACTCAGACTTTAAACAGTGCTTATAAATTATATACAGCATACACCTTTGGTTACAGGTCTATATTATTTTATTTTATTTTTCCTAGCGTTTTTTATAATAATTTTTAAATAATATGGCAAATAAAACAAACAAAGTTAAACGCCCATCTAGAAAAAAATAAAATAAGAATCCACAGCGTTCGAGCATTACGGCTGGCGCGCGGTGTCAACGACAATGGTCTGTGGAGTGGGGCCACGATTAAAAATATATCTATATAATAATAAATTATCAGACCGCCCAGTTCGTTCGCCGTTACACCGTTCCACCAGTTGTCGGTAAATTTAGCCGCATCAAAGCATTTGATTAATACGCGCAAATATTACAAGTGTGTACGCTGCTTTATTCTGAATAGATAGCTAGTATAGAATGACGGCTATAACACGATTCCGCAAACTTTGCGGAATCGTGTTGATTTTTATAGCCACTGATATACATACACGACTCCGCAAATTTAATATATATATACACGATTCCGCATAATTTTAAACGCAACGTTGCCATTCCGAAAACAAAATCTATATTATTGGAAGGGCCGAGCCACACTTGAGTGATTTTGGCGCGCGGTACGCATACGACGGTGGCACCCGGTAGCATAATATAAGCATTCTGGGGTCTGTTTCGGCACCTGTGTTCAAATACGCATTCTCAATACATACTTCCAATTTGACAACATTAAATAATTCTTTTTAAAAAAATGATCGGTTCGCGTATTGGGTTAATTACTTCCGAGCGACGGAAAGAGTTAGCTTTAGTAAATTTATATAAACACAGCTAGATTTGTTGGTTATCAATTTTGTAACAAATTATTAGAACGCAAATTAGTGATTAGCGGTGGCTGCGTCGCCATTCCAAGTACCTATATAATATATAGACGTACGCGTGTCGTGTGTAGACTGTAGGTAAGTGTACCTTATATTATTATACGGGTTGAAAATAATATTTCCGTCGAACGAAGAATATATTCTTTATCTTTCCGCCGATTTCTTATTAATTATCGTCAATCGTCAATCAGTTTATAAACACTATTAATATTCTTAGAAAATATATGTTTATTGGAAATCATGATTTTATGAACAAGTGGTGATTTAGTTTAAATGCAGGCTGTAGCCTGTAGGTACCTATATAATATAATATATAAATAAAATATGTTCTATATATTATATATTTTTTTTTTTTGAAAAAAAAATCTGTGAAACATTAAAAACACAATTTCTGCATATTTTAATTTTTAAATAAAAATAAAGGACTTAATTTTGATTTTTTGGGGTGGGTCATGACCCCCATGACCCCCCCCATAGATCCGCGCCTGTATACAATCATTATGATACTGTCGTACCTAGTTTATATACAGTAATATCACAGATTATATTTTATTAATTATAAAATAATAATATGTCTTATATAATCCGTGGTGACATAATGTCAAAAAATCTAAAACACGTTTTCGTTCGACCGTACTATACCTATATTATTATCAAAGAAAATAAATCATTTTTCGTGTTGTAATTCCGTCGGTCGTGTGCTGCACTCTGTATATATAATATCATATCGCCGCCGCGGCGACGAGTATAAAATATATTGTTGTTGTTGTTGTTGTTGTGGTGGTGGAATGTGAGATGTGACGCCTTACGAAAATATACAACTGGGCGTGGTCGGCGGCGTTAGCGGTGCAGTGTGTTGGTGGTGGGTGGCAGCGGTGCCGGGGGGAAGGGGGGTGACAAACGAGAGTGGCTCGGCGGCTGAACACGTACGAGCGAGTAACAGCGCGGTAACGGGCCGCGGTTGGTAGAACACGGATCTGATGGCGGCGGCGTCGGCGCCGCCCGATTTACGTTGTTGGCGTGTTGAGAGCCGCCATCCCTGGTCACGTGTTTCAGCGCTCGGCAGCTGGTCAATATAAAGGCTCGAGGGGAGTTCACACCACACCGTCGTGTCGAGTAAAACAATCACGGTTACCACAGATACCAAGCGATACCGCATAGTTGAATACGTTCAACTTTTGACCGTGTGGACCACATTTATGTGCTTCAGAGTTCAGATAAAGCCGGGTTCATACTTAATGTAATCGTATTATAGATAAGTCTGTAAGCTTTTACAAAACGCGTATCGTCCAAAACCTGTGGAGCACACATACCGTAATAATATTATCTATATATATATATAAAAATGGAGACAAAAAATTCGAAATTGCATCAGTTGAGAACGGCTGGGCCG